ATATCACACACACACACACACACACACACACACACACACACAGAGAGAGAGAGAGAGAGAGAGAGAGAGAGAGAGAGAGAGAGGGAGAGAAATCTATTGATTTTAAAACAAGGTATAATGATGGTTGTACAACAATGGGTGTGAGCAACTAGTTCAATTAATTATACTGAACCATAAAATAGTTAAGATGCTAAATGTTATCTGATGTATATTTTATCAAAAAACAATTAAAAACCATATTAATTTTGAAAAAATTCTAGAGTTTTCAAAAGAGATCTTTTATATAAAATTTTATTAGCAAAACAAAACAACAACAACCTCCAGAGAAGGATTTGAAGCTTTGTTGCTAAAAGGTGAGCATGTATGCACGGATAGATGTGTGTTTATGTATATGCACATTTCCAAGAAAATACTCATGTTCCACCAATTCAGTAACCTCCATTATTGTTGTCAGTTTTAGGAATATTTTCAAGAATTCTGACATTTAAAATGCAATACACCAAGCACTTTTGCAGCAGCAAAGAAACCAAAATAATTATGCCTGAGAGCCTGTTATAACTCTAGTATCTCCCATCGGTGTCACCAAAAGAAAGTATCTGCAGCCCTGGGCATCTACTAAGCATTATCTGCTGTGCCTGTGCAAAGGCTGGAGCAACCCGGAAGAAAGGAGTCATACCAAAGAAAGTCAAAGCCACAGCACAAGCCCCAGGCTAAAATAAAACAGAGACACAGGCAGGTGTGCCAACCTTGGGCAAAGTTTTTCTCTTCAATCTTGAGGCTGTAAAATTAAAGCCAAGTGTAGGTATGGTCAAACATCTCTCTCTAATCCTATTTGCTAATGTTTTCCAAAGATTAATAAGATAAGTTCCTCAGCATGTGCTTTGAGTTGTCTGGTAATTTCTACTGGCTCCTTGGGGCAGAAGTGGCGCACGGGGCTCCTGAAAGCTCTACTGTCTGAAGTATCCACAGCAAGAGCAGCTGCTTTTGGCCTGGGCCTGGCAGAGATGGGGCCAACTCTCTACGTGTCAATCAGCAATGACACTGGGCTTCTTAAGTGAAGCTGATGACAAAGGAACAACATGCTCCTTGTCCTCTGTCATCTGCAGCAATACAGGCAGTGCAGATCAGCAACGGAGCTCTACTATGAAACAGTGTGGTGTGCAGTAGATGCCAACTCAATCAAACAGCCATTGTCATGGCTGCTTCATCTAAACCCTGTATATCAGTCATTGCAA